TTTTTATTGTGCTCTCAGAACTAACGATTACTCAGTGTACAACAAATGCAAAGACGTACTTTTGTATTTGTTATATTTCTCCAAAAGAAACAATAAAACAATCGTTGATAAACCAATGGGTAGAAGCTCACTCAACATATTCTTCATCCAAAGGATGAGGTATGTTGCTCAGAAATGCTGCCTTTTAGGTCATTGACTTTATTCAGCATTGTCCCGAGTTAATAAAGTTGTTTACAAAATCGAGATTGAAGTAGAACAACTCCCCTATAAAAAACCTGCATTGCAGGAAAAAATCGGTAAAAACTCCAATCCATTAAAGTTTTAAAAGGTGAATTGCTTGTAAAAAAATGCCTGGTAATTTCCATCAGAAATATTTTTTGAAAAAATAAATCTGGCTTACTTTACGAGCATATTTCGAATTATTCAAATGATGTTAGTTAGAAATAAAAATTATTGTATCACAAGGTGATACTAATCCTGCATCCATAGAAGGATCACTTACCAAGATCGATCTAAAAGACAAAGAGGAAAAACACTCAAGGAGTGAAATACTAATTGAAGGAATTCAAGGAATTCCTGAAGTTTCAAATAAGGGAACGGGTGGGTGGGTCGCCTTGCTTGGTGTTTGAACCATTTCAATATACTTAATTTTTTTGAGCATAAAATTATTTATCAACTCAATTTTATTGTTTACAATTTGTCGAAATACTAACGTTGCATCGTTCCTCGCAACTCTACATATTTCTCCAAAAGAAACAATAAAACAATCGTTGATAAACCAATGGGTTAGTCCAGAGAAAATAAGGTGTCTGTGAAATTCTTGCCAGCAAGACCCTCAGATCGTAGATAAGGAAATAAACTGTTGGTTTTCTTATGTCTTGCACCAACCATGAGATCTGAAGTAGAAACACCTTTTCTAAGTCCTTCTGTGATGGCTCCAATTCTAATGCTGTGCCCAGAAACTCTCACATCTTGGTCAACCATACCCACCGCATTCTTGAGTATCTTAGAAATATCATTTGAATCAAGGAATTTGTTGTTTTCGTAGGAAAACAAAGGAGAATCGTCATCTTTAAATTCACGAACCAAATCCATATACGAATTTAGTAGGGTTATTGGGCAAAGACTTGGATTCTTTGTATTCTTGTCAATAGTAATTGGTTTTTCAATAAGGAAGAAATCAGTTTTGTGACCACTGAGGTCAATTTTGATTTTTCCATTCTTGAGAACCTTGATATAGGACCATTTTAAGCGCGCAACCTCACCAGGTCTTGCAAATAGTCTGAAACCAACCACTAGAATAGCAGAAGTGAGTCGAAAAGTGAAATTGTCCACTTTGTCTTTGCACTTCACATAATCAGTCAAATGTTTGACTGTAATTGGATCTCTTTGAAGAGAAACTTTATCCGAGAGTGTATAAAGTTTCAGTACACCTTTTTTAACCTTAGAGTAGGAGGCAGAGATGGTAATGGGTTTGCCATCAAGGTTAGCAAAGAATTGAATTGCTGCTTGCACAGTTTTTGCTTTGTATCCTTGAATATTTATCAAGAGGTATGAGATGTAATATTCAATAGCTATAGGATCATCAATGGTGAGATCAAACACATTGATAAACCAGAGAAAACCACCATAAATTCTATTATAAGTTCTGAATGTTTTCTCAGCTATTGATGAAAGGATACTAAGATCCCTTATTGCTTGAACAACTTGCCATGCACTTGAACAACCAGGAAATTGGAAGTCTCGAACTTGTCTTGCAACTCTGACAAGGGCGTTATTATAAGCATCTTTCGGGAAACAGGTATTATCCTTTCTGATATCTTTAGCAAGACTGGAAACCATATCGAAGAGGGCCAGTCTGGAACTACAAATGTCGCTTTCGCTTCTGATTTTATGCAATGAACTAGAGCTTGAGATATCAGACCCAGAGGAGGAACACAATAACTCATCAGATTTTGTTCCCATGGATTCAAGAATGTGTCGTTCTCTATCCATGAGTTGAATTGAATTGTTGTGGTTGATTCCGATGTCGCGAATCTGTCCACATGGTGCTCTCCAAATTCTGTCTGAACTAGATGCAGTAGTTCTTGAGATGATTTCCATTCTGTTAAGCGACTCAGTCTGTCTGCTAGATTGTTCTCCTTTGAGGGAATGTAAATCACCTTTGAAATCCACCATTTTCTTCTCATCAAGATCTTGTAGAGGTCTCTGGCGATTTGAGAGAGTTCTTCTATGACTCCGTAACCTCTCCTTATATAGGAAATTGCTGTAACATTGTCGCCTCTGATTTCGAATGCTTGTCCAGGACCATAAAGGTTTAACCGATCTGCTTGTGTGAAGAAAATGAGGAGTGTTTTTAACTCTTTCACATTGATGTGTTCTGAGGAAGTGAATCTTCCAATTGTAATGGTTGACTCTGCGTGAATTCCATAGCCTGTTGGGCAGGCATCTGAATTCACTCGAATTGGGTTCGTTGAATTCAGTTCGAAGGGAATTCCACTGTTTTTCTGAATCAGATCTTTCAAAATATTTAGATCCTTCGCTGCACCTCTGAATATTCTCATTGATGCGTGCCAAGATTTGTCGTTTACTACTTTCACCATATCCTTCCGAAGACGAGCAAGAAAGGGAGCAAAGTAATGGTTTGAAAGAGTTAGAAATTCCATCTTTCCGAGGAATTGTGCTACTTTCTTGCATGCTACAAACCTGTTCCGTTGGTTTGCTGATAAGAATTTTTGAATCATTTCTAAGGCTGTTGATTGTTTGTTGACTGGGATTTTCACAAGGCCAAGTACGAGATCCAGTTCCAGACCGAGAAACTCTATGTGTTGACACGGTGCTAATACGCTTTTCTCTTTCTGGATTATCCATCCCAATGTCTCCAGATCCTTCATGACTATGTCTGTGAGCAGTTGGGTAGTTTCTTTGCTGTTGTTTAGAATCAAAATATCGTCTATGTAAATAAATACTAGAATACCCTGCTTTCTCCACTTGGTCACTAACTCTTTCATAATCTTTGTGAAATTTCTGGGAGCTTGACTTAGCCCAAACGGTAGGCATTTGAACTGATAAATCTTGTCCTTGTACCTGAATCCAAGGAGATTGCGATGTTTCTCCCTGATTGGAACGTGGAAGTAACCCTTCTTCAGGTCTATCTTTGTTGCCCACATTCCCTTCTGAACAAATTTCAAACATCTTTGAATGTTGTCCATCTTGAAGGAACTGTCCTTTATTCCTAAATTGACCTTCCTTAGGTCTAGAATAAAGCGAAATTGATCCGAACCCTTCTTGGGTACAATGTTTATTGGGTTCAATATTGTTGAACTGTTTCCAATCTCTATTACATTGGAACTCAGCATCTCTTGGATTTCCTGATCCATCCAAGAGGTTTCCTTTGGAGAGAAATTCTTCCTTTGTTTGAATTCTTTCCAAAGGGTGGGATTTGAGTAGATTGGGACTCCATTTCGAATCCAATCCACTATAAATGGGTTGAAGTTGTAACTCTCCCACTGAGGTACAAACTTGTTGAGACGGCAACCTACCAAGTCAGAGGTCTTGTTTGAAAGCTCCTCCACCATTGTTATTGTACTTTGGCTTGGAATCTCCTGACTTTTGAAAAGAGGAACCACTCTTGTTGTAATTGTTGAATGGCTTTGAATAGCTGTTAGGGATGCCACCTTGATGAGAGGACGGTTTTTGAAACTTTTCTTTCATCTTTAGAGGTTTTTGGATCTTGCTGGTAATGGCATGCTTTACTACAGATTTCTCTCTCTTCTTTTGGCGAGCTTTTTCTGTTATATCAGCAAACGTGTTGCTTTGGATGAAGGGTTGAATAAATTGGTTCGCAACATCAAAGTTACTTTCGAATAAACCTTCTTCTAAAAAGATTTTCTCAACCTCAGAGAGAAGAAACACCAACTCAGTGATTTCAATGATGTTGGTTACATTTAATGGATGGCTCAGAGCAAACTGAAGTAATTTAGACTTCAAATGTAACATTTCCATCATCTTTTGCAAGCCTTTGGATTGAATTTCTTGCAGACGAGGATAGTTACGAGAGTTGTGAATGACAGATTCAAATCGAGCCATCAAAACTTGAACTCTATTCAACAACGCCTCATTGGAAGAGTAATGACGAAGTGTTTTGGCTGAGACAAAACTTAAGACATCTCCATCGGATAGTCTATCACCAACTTCGTAGTTACGTCTAATCTCCTTGATAGTAGTTAGACCCCAATGTTTACCAGTGAAATCCTCATCAGCGGATTCCTCATCAGGGTCTTCATCAAGTTGATTAGCTTGTTGCAGAACAGGAGGAACAGCTTCGAGATGCTTTATTCTCTCACCCAAAGAAGTGATGGCGTTGAGAATAGCATCAAGGTTCTTTTCAGAACCAGCTTGGTTGTTATCCAAGGTTTTGGATGTTGGGTCAACCACAGAGGGGAGTGAAGCTGAGCTACCATTGTCAGTTACTGGGATGTAACCTGACTTGTAGGTAGAAGTTGAGGATTTGCTTGCTGAAACTCTTTGACGAATGTTGGAAATATTCGCCTTGCTTGGTGTTTGAACCATTTCAATATACTTAATTTTTTTGAGCATAAAATTATTTATCAACTCAATTTTATTGTTTACAATTTGTCGAAATACTAACGTTGCATCGTTCCTCGCAACTCTACATTGAAGGTTGCTGATTCATTGTGGCCCTGTTTAGATTTGTTTACTTGTGTGAGAGGGGCCATTAACAATGGTTCACTTTGTGTTTTTCTCTTCTTTGAAGGACTACTGATACAATCTTGACTAGTATTTAATGGATCATCATCTAAAATAATTAAATTTAAATCCTTGGATTGTGTGGAGTCATTGGGAGTGTTTTCAATTGTTTTGGTGAAAGATTCCAATAATTTTGTTTCACTGATGCTATCGTATTTGAATTTAGGATCATCATTTGGTAAAATCTCTGCATGGTTGGACGTAAAAATATTAACAATATTCTTCCTATGATTGGCATGAAATGTAGAAATGGAAGACTTGTCAAATCCTATACGCTTATTAAGTAAATTCACAATTTCATTCACACTTGATGACAAATCCCAAGATGATTCTGTTTCTTTGTAAGTTTTGAAACTTTTCAATTCTCTAACAAATTGATTTGCATACACTCTCTTTTGAATGGACTTTCCAATAGTCTTTTCATCTCTAGCAATCCGTGCATCTTTGATTTCACTATGTACAAACTCAACAAATTCATCATTGGCCATATAATTATTATTGGAAAAACAGATAGATTTGTTTCTATCTAGAAACGACAGGAAATTTGGATATTTGGATTCTAGGAAAACATTTTGTCTTATCTGATTACTGATTAGATTGAAATATCTTCGTCGTTTCTGTACAAGATATAATTTCAAACGTTGTGGCAATAATTCTCTCAATGATTTTGAATCATTATTTCGAATATACTCTTTCATTTCAATATTATCTAAACCTAATCTCATTAGATGACATAATGTAGCAATTGTTGGATTTTTCTCCATCTCTTGTATGAATTTTCGAAATTTCTCTTCCTGTAAAGAAGTCCATGTACTTTCATCATCAAATTTATCTATTGGAATGGAATATACTTTTGTAAACAAAGAAACCAACCATGTCAATATACCCTTTGAATATGCCTGAACAAATGCAAACATTGAATAATAATGTTTACTTTTTTTGGTACTCTGCAT